TGTGTGGGACAGAGGGGGCTATTGTGTGGAGACAGAGGGGGCTATTATTGTGTGGAGACAGAAGGGCTATTGTGTGAGACAGAGGGGCTATTGTGTAAGACAGAAGGCTATTGTGTGAGACAGAGGTAATATTGTGTGGAGACAGAGGACTATTGTGTGAGACAGGGGGCTATTGTGTGAGACAGAGGGGGCTATTGTGTGAGACAGAGGGGGCTATTGTGTAAGACAGAAGGGCTATTGTGTGAGACAGAGGGGGGAATTGTGTGGGACAGAGGGGGCTATTGTGTGAGACAGAAGGGGCTTATTATCTTCAACCTTAGCTCATACATAACACAAACTAATCACTAAGAGATCATATTTACCTCATTCAACCTTTAAAGACTTCGTAAATACCACATGAACAAGTTTCTAAAACCCTAATGTGGCGGCAAACTCAACCAAACTGTACACAGATCTCACCTGGTTGTTGTTGTTGTTCTGGTACAGTTTGTTGGATATTTGGACAAGATTTTATGGCGGCAATCTTAGTGAATGGGAAGAGTTTCTTTATTACTCGAACTGAAGCAATTATACTCGGGGTGATTTGGGGGAGTTTTAATCGTCGATAAAGTTGATAGTAAAGTGGGGAGGGGAGGGGAGGGGAGGGGAGGGGAGGAGGGAGATTGTGGGTGAACAAATATTTCTACAACATTCTTCTCCCCGGTGTATTGTGAGAGACTGGTGAGTCTCTCTCTCTCTCTCTACCCTCTCTCTCTCTCTCTCTCTCTCTCATTCTCACATTTATTCTTTACCTCAACATTTTAATTCAATTCTAAGAGACTAAAAATGTTGATCGCTCTTAATTGGTCCAGTAAAGCGAAGCATCGGTTAGTATGTAAATGAGGCAGTTTAACATGCATGAAAGATCTGCGTATCTCGAGTCTTTTACTGGTGCTGACACTGACATGACTCCCTCCATCATAGGTCTTACTGTGTTGCTGACACTGCTGACGCTGGGCTGATGACCTCCCTTCATCATGAGTCTTACTGTTAAACGACACTGGTCTGACGCTGGGCTGATGACCTCCTCCATCATAGGTCTTTTATTGCTGACACAGATTGCTGACCTTTGGGCTTGCTGACACTGGTGCTGACGCGGGCTGATGACCTCCCTTCATCATAGGTCTTACTGTTGCTGACACTGGTGCTGACGCTGGGCTGATGACCTCCGCTCCATCATAAGGTCTTACTGTTGCTGACACTGGTGCTGACGCTGGGCTGATGACCTCCCTTGCATCATAGGTCTTACTGTTGCTGACACTGGTGCTGACGCTGGCTGATGACCCCTCCATCATAGGTCTTATTGTTGCTGACACTGGTGCTGACGCTGGGCTGACCTCCCTTCATCATAGGTCTTACTGTTGCTGACACTGGTGCTGACGCTGGGCTGATGACCTCCCTTTATCATAGGTCTTACTGTTGCTGACACTGGTGCTGACGCTGCTGACGCTGGTTGATGACCTCCCTTCATCATAGGTCTTACTGTTGCTGACACTGGTGGGCTGAGACCTCCCCTTCATCATAGGTTCTGCTGACACTGGTGCTGACGCTGGGCTGATGACCTCCCTTCATCCGGCAGGTCTTACTGTTAAGCGATACTGGTGCTGACGCTGGGCTGATGACCTCCCTTCATCATAGGTCTTACTGTTGCTGACACTGGTACTGACGCTGGGCTGATGACCTCCTTCATCATAGGTCTACTGTTAAGCATGGTGCCGACGCTGGGCTGATGACCTCCATCATAGTCTTACTGTTGCTGACACTGGTGCTGACGCTGGGCTGATGACCCTCCTTCATCATAGGTCTTACTGTTGCCGACACTGGAAGCGACGCTGGCTGATGACTTCCCTTCATCATAGGTCTTACTGTTGCTGACAATTGGTGCTGACGCTGGGCTGATGACCTCCTTCATCATAGGTCTTACTGTTGCTGACACTGGTGCTGACGCTGGGCTGATGACCTCCCTTCATCATAGGTCTTACTGTTGCTGACACTGGTGCTGACGCTGGGCTGATGACCTCCCTTCATCATAGGTCTTACCGTTAAGCTGACACTGGTGCTGACGCTGGGCTGATGACCTCCCTTCATCGTCTAGGTCTTACTGGTGCTGACACTGGAAGGACGCTGGGCTGATGACCTCCCCTTCATCATATAGTCTTACTGGTGCTGACACTGGTGCTGACGCTGGGCTGATGACCTCCCTTCATCATAGGTCTTACTGTTGCTGACACTGGTGCTGACGCTGGGCTGATGACCTCCCATCATCTTCCTCACGCTGGGCGTGACCTCCTTCATCATAGGTCTTACTGGGTGCTGACACTGGTGCTGACGCTGGGCTGATGACCTCATTCATCACTGGTATATGACCTCCCTTCATCATAGTCTTACTGGTGCTGACACTGGTGCTGACGCTGGGCTGATGACCTCCCTTCATCATAGGTCTTACTGTTGTTGACACTCGAAAAGGACGCTGGGCTGATGACCTCCTTCATCATAGGTCTTACTGGTGCTGACACCGGTGCTGACGCTGGGCTGATGACCTCCCTTCATCATAGGTCTTACTGTTGCTGACACTGGTGGACGCTGGGCTGATGACCCTCCCTTCATCATAGGTCTTACTGTTGCTGACACTGGTGCTGACGCTGGGCTGATGACCTCCCTTCATCATAGGTCTTACTGTTGCTGACACTGGTGCTGACGCGCTGGGCTGATGACCTTCTCCCTCCCTCCCTTACAAGTGACTTAAACCCGGACCTCAAGTTAACTTAAACCCAGACTTAAATAAGTTAAACCTAGACTATAACCTAAACCTGTACTCAGTGACCTGCTGGGGGGGGTCATCAACTTCCGGGTCAGGTAGCGGTCGATAGTTCCGTAAAGTAGGGGTCCAGATACCGGGGAGAGAGAGAGAGAGAGAGAGAAAGAGAGAGAGAGATAAGCAGACAGACAGACAGGCAGAGACAGACACAGAGGACAGACAGACAGACAATATGACCCCAAGCTTCAGTAATCAGACGATATTATTTATAATGGTTGAGGATTTGGCCCGAGGATGACACCACCGCCATTATGTCCCGAGGTTTATCGTCACGTCCACACCACCACCACCACCATGTTCCCGCCATTACTGGAGGCGAGAGAACGTGCGTCTGGCGTTATTTATATGTTGTTTCTCTCATAATGGGTCAAGCGGTCGCCTTCCTCTGTGTGTGTGTGTTTACCTCGGCCAGCTGCTGTTGTTTGTATCCGGTCGAGGTGAAAATTGTTTACCTCGTGACTTGTTTGTTTATGGTGTTTGTTTGTTTGTTTATATTACTTTTTTATCATTAAGCGGTTGTTTATCGTGTCATCATTGTTTACTACTAGTCAGCTGTGTCTGGCTGCTGTCAGTGGAGTGTGGTGCTGCTGTCAGTGGAGGGTGCTGCTGTCAGTGGAGTGTGGTGCTGCTGTCAGTGGAGTGTGTGCTGCTGTCAGGGTGGTGTGGTGCTGCTGTCAGTGGAGTGTGGTGCTGCTGTCAGTGGGGTGTGTGCTGCTGTCAGTGGAGTGTGGTGCTGCTGTTCGATGCTGTGCTGGCGCTGGCTGTCAGTGGAGTGTGGTGCTGCTGTCAGTGGAGTGTGGTGCTGCTGCCTGGATGTGCTGGCGCCGGCTGTCAGTGGAGTGTGGTGCTGCTGTCAGTGGGAGGTGGTGCTGCTGTCTGATGCTGTGCTGGCGCCGGCTGTCAGTGGGTGTGGTGCTGCTGTCAGTGGAGTGTGGTGCTGCTGTCTGGATGCTGTGCTGGCGCCGGCTGTCACCCCGTTGAGGACAGACAGCGACAGTCAGTGTGGTGGGCGACTATTGAAAGCTCATTGCGTTGCTTTAACATTGTCTGGGGTATACGGCTGTCTTTATGCTGTCAGATGGATGGATAGATTGATAGACAGATGGATAGATGGATAGACAGATGGATAGATGGAGGAGTTTAGTGGACTGTGGAATTGGTTTAGTCGCATCAGATTGAGTTAGGATTAGGTTAGGGTAGGTTAGGTTAGGTTAGGGTAGGTTAGGTTAGGTTAGGTTAGGTTAGGATAGGATTAGGTTAGGTTAGGATTAGGTTAGGTTAGGTTAGGTTAGGTTAGGTTAGGTTAGGTTAGGGTAGGTTAGGATTAGGTTAGGTTAGGTTAGGTTGAACTGGATTAAGTTAGGTAGAGGAACCTGACAGTAATATATGACAGGGGAGGACAAGGGATCAAGGACAGGGTGATGTTAGTGTCAAGGGAACAAACAATAAAAAACAAACAAAAAACAAATAAACAAAAACCAACAAACAAAAAATAAAAACAAATAAACAACCAATCAAAAATAAAACAAAATCACTCAGACTAAAACAAAAACAAATACTGAAAACATAAAAACCGTCCAGACCAGAACAACACAATATTGGGATGGAATAAAACAAACAAAAAATGTAAAAAAAAAAACAATGGTTGAAAAAATAAAACATCAAAAGAAAACAGAGAAAACGGGAACGTTGGTGCGAGAGGAAACACAAGTTATATACATAAATATAACAAGAATGACCTGACCTGACCTGACCTGACCTGACCTGACCTGACCTGACCTGTCCTGTCCTGTCCTGACCTGTCCTAACCTGACCTGACCTGACCTGACCTAACCTAACATTATAACAGGTATGGACAGGTAATGAGGCCAGGTGATTATAGTTCTGTTTACGTCTCTTTAATGAGTCGGTAAAGAAGGTTGTCAGACCCGGCCAGTGGTAGGTGGTTCTAATCCTTCTTCATTCTTTTTTTCATTGTTATTTCATTATCCTTCTGTTGTTTTTTTTCCATTCTGTGTTAATTGTCATGTGATTTGTGTGAGTGTGATTTTTATTACTTGTGTTTGTCTCTTTTCGTGTTTAGGAATAATTAAGTTTCTCCTCTCATTATTATCTTCTAATGTTATTCTCGTTTTCTTTGCAGATTGTTTCGACATATGCAACTGGCAATAAGTGGCCACAACGACTGCAATAACCCTGCAATATCCTCCGGCAGTTGTACCTTTCTCCTCCTGCCACACCTTCATCTCCTCCTTCTGTTCGTTCGTTCGTTCTCTCTGCAGCACCACCACTACTCGGCACACTTCGTTATCGTCATCTTCGTTACCCGTGTCTTCGTTATCTGTGAGCTGCTACAGACGTTACTATAAGCCTGAAGGGAGGTGTTTGTACCGGACCACAAACTCATTGGTTCCTCAGTGTTAATACAGTCAGTTGTTGGGTGAAAGACTGAAATAGACTGACTTTAGTGGATAGTTGAAGTATTTTTGATTTTGTATTACTTTACGAGTGATTGTCAGAAAGAATTGGTTAACATATAAACAGTAACTGTTGATGTGTGTTAAACTAAACGAAATATTGAATAACTGTGAAGGTTGAGTGTGAGACGGTGATGGACACAAGCCTACAGTCAGCCAGCGACCTGTACAGCAGAGAGCAGGTCATGGCCTACCCTCTACCAGACTGACACCTTCATCACTCAGCCTCCCTCACTAACCTGACAACAATATGGGACAACACTAATAAAACAAATGTTGTACTGAAGAAAAACTCAGTTGTGTTGTCAGTCTCAAGTCACCTCTAGTGTTGTTTAAACGTGTGTACTGTTAAGCCCTTGTGTTTATGGCGGCTCCTGACTCACACTGCTCAAATATTATTCAGACGTGAATTACTAAACACGACGACAAACTTTAAAAACAATTGCAAGACAGAAATAACACCTTGCTTCACCAGACACACTCCCCACAAGTAAGAGATCTGGCCCACCAGTTGTCCTTCGTCGTGAAGATAAAGTCAATTATACAATTCTTCCTGAGACTCGTGAAGCCTCCTTAACTTCTACCAAGATGGGGGACTCCAGCCGGGCCAGCACGCCCTCCTCCTCCAACGCCAACACCAACACCCGGCCCACCACCCCCAGGGAGGAGAGACACCAGGTAAATCTTTCTTCCTTTTGTTGTTTATTGAGGAGGTGTTGTGTTTTGTTCCTGCTGGGGGGGGTACTGGGGAGACGAGAGACGGGACGGTGGAGGCGGAGGGGGAGGGGGGTACTGGGAGGACGAGATGACGGTAGGGAGGGGAGGGGGGGGGGGGTACTGGGGAGACGAGACGGGTGGTAGTGGGAGGCGGGGAGGGGGGAGGGGGGAATTACTTGTATATATCATGTTTGTCTTGTACATTAATCTTGTCTTAACATGAAATAAATTGACTACATGACGAGAAAGTATCAGGGAAGTAGTCATGTGTGTGTATATACAGTTTACACACACATACAATATACGCATAAACATTATATAAGTAATGTTTATTGTTATTTACACCTGGGGAATTTACCTTAAAATATATTATGTTTATTAATATATACACCTGTGGAGAACTAAGGTTAATTATTGTACTGGACAGGTAACTACATGCTGTGTCACTTACCTGTTCTATATATGACTGATTTAACACCTGACCTAACTATGCCTCTTAGGTGTCAGTTCATATATATAAGGAATTTTACCTTTGAATATTGTGTCTGGGAGTAAAGTTCTTTTTTATGTGAAGGAATTAAAAATATGACGTGTGGTGAGTGTGTGTGGTGAGTGTGGTGAGTGAGTGTGGTGAGTGTGTTTGGAGAGTGTGGTAAGTGTGTGTGGTGAGTGTGTGTGGTGAGTGTGTTTGGAGAGTGTGGTGAGTGTGTTTGGAAAGTGTGGTGAGTGAGTGTGGTGAGTGTGTTTGGAGAGTGTGGTGAGTGTGTGTGGTGAGTGTGTTTGGAGAGTGTCGTGAGTGTGTTTGGAGAGTGTGGTGAGTGTGTTTGGAGAGTGTAGTGAGTGAGTGTGTCGAGTGTGTTTGGAGAGTGTAGTGTGTATAGTTCCGGGTTTAAAACAGCTTTGAATGTCACCTCGAAGTCTCTTGAATTATACCTTAACATTATGTGTATTATTATCGACTCCGAGTTCTCGTTCTCAGAAAATCCAACTCTCTTTCTTTCTCTCTCAGGCACTCCCAGCTCTCTGTCTCAGGCATTCCCAGCTGTCTCTCTCTCGAGCGCTACCAGTTCTCTTTCTCAATCTCTGTCTCAGCTCTCTAGCTCTCAACCACTCCCAGCTCTCTAGCTCTCAACCACTCCCAGCTCTCTAACTCTCAACCACTCCCAGCTCTCTAACTCTCAACCACTCCCAGCTCTCTAACTCTCAACCACTCCCAGCTCTCTAATCTCAACCACTCCCAGTCTCTAACTTCAACCACTCCCAGCTCTCTAACTCTCAACCACTCCCAGCTCTCTAGCTCTCAACCACTCCCAGCTCTCTATCTCTCAACCACTCCCAGCTCTCTAGCTCTCAACCACTCCCAGCTCTCTAACTCTCAACCACTCCCAGCTCTCTAACTCTCAACCACTCCCAGCTCTCTATCTCTCAACCACTCCCAGCTCTCTAGCTCTCAACCACTCCCAGCTCTCTCTCTCAATATCAAGTTCATCCGTTGAAAAATAAAAGCTGTTTCGTGTTGGCTCTCGTCACGGCAAGAGAGCGTCATAACTCACCCATCTGTGCTGGGATTCAATATGGAAGTTTGGAGGCAGGAGGTTAGTTTTGGAGGCAGGAGGTTAGTTATGGAAGTAGGAGGTTAGTTTTGGAGGCAGGAGGTTAGTTTTGGAGGTAGGGGGTGAGTTATGGAAGTAGGAGATTAGTTTTGGAGGTAGGGGGTGAGTTATGGAGGCAGGAGGTTAGTTTTGGAGGTAGGGGTGTGAGTTTTGGATGCCGGTGGTTAGTTTTGGAGGTAGGAGGTTGGTTTTGGAGGCAGGGGGTTGGTGCTGACTCTGGAATATAAACAAGATGCTTTCAGACATACATCACTAAAGCCATCTGAAGTGAAAGAATACATCCTGTGTATACCTAGACAGTGTAGGTAGACAAACTATGTATACCTAGACAGTGTAGGTAGACAAACTATGTATACCTAGACAGTGTAGGTAGACAAACTATGTATACCTAGACAGTGTAGGCACTAGGTATACGTACAATATACCTAAAATGCAGGTATACAATGTACCTAGACAGTGTAGGTATACAAACAATATACCTAGACAGTACAGGTAAACAAACAATGTCTACCGAGATAGAACAGGTAAACAAACAATGATAAACAAGACAATTCGACCCAAAATAGTCAACAAAGACCAGGTTGTTCTCTCCAGCGAGGTACAGTAATTCTTTCATACCGCCTGAAGCACTTTTAACCTCCACACCTTTACTCTGGGTCGATCACAGTAAACAAAAGATGCCGCCGGCGACCATCTTGAATAATCTTATCTGGCGGTATTGGAGCAAGGACCTTGACCTTTGAGGGACCTTAAAAGCAATGACCTTTTAGTGACCTTGACCTTTGAGTGACCTTGAGAGAGAATAAGAGAAAAATAATAAAGAAAAAATAAGAACGAATAAGATAATAAGAGAGAGAGAGAGAGAGAGAGAGAGAGAGAGAGAGAGATTATACAAACTCATCCATATCTTCAATATTTGCGTTGGTGTTGACTTCATGGCGGACTGGTGATCGACTTCTCAGAATAACCCCGCTCGGGAAACACTTCTCCTCACTATAATGCCAATACCCCCGCAGGAGGGAGACTGGCGAACGATTGCCTGACGTTATATGCTAAAGAGTGGTATTTGATGTAGGGGGATGCTGCAGACACACACACACACACACACACACAGACACACACACACACACAGCAATTTGGCAATATGAGGACCTCCTCTACATCACACTGCTTGGTGAGCTTTCTGGATTTTCTGCACAAAAACTTGCAGAAACGAAAGACATCACTGGCCGTTGCCCTTGTGGACTTCAGGAAGGCCTTTGACCTTGTTGATCACTGAACTGTTATTAACAAGGCTATTGCACTAGGGCTGCCCACCAACCTGGTCTCATGGCTCACTGATTTCTTGAGTGGACACCGTCAAGCAGTGAGGTATCAGGGCTTGGTCTCTACATTCCAACACCTCACCTGCGGTGTTCCCCAGGGGACCAAGATGGGACCACTGTGCTTCCTCATCCTGATCAACGACGCTCTATCGGACACTCCTCACAGGTGGAAGTACGTGGATGACTGCACTGTGGGGGTTTCAGTGGACAACACCGCACCAGACTACTCATCGCTCCAAGGCACCCTGGACAGGCTACAGGCATGGACTACGGAGAACAAGGTCACCATCAACCACACCAAAACCGTAGTCATGCACATCAATACCGCCACCACTCCAGTGCAAGCCCCAGCAGTCACAGTGGGTGCCCATCCTCTCCAGCTGGTGCAGTCTGCCAAACTCCTGGGTGTAACTATAGACAACAAACTTGACTGGAAGGCCCATGTAAATAACACAGTCAAGGCAGCCTCGTACCGTCTCTACATGCTACGAAGACTTAGGTCACTTGGGACACCCACGTCCAGAGCTGAGGACCATCTACAACGCCTTTATTCTCCCCTAACTAACGTATGCGTCACCAGCCTGGTCGTCTTCTCTCAACTCCACCCAACAACGTCAGCTAGAGAAGGTACAGAAAAGGGCCTGCAGAATCATGCTCGGCGCGGAATACTCCGGCTACACCAACGCTCTCTCCACCCTGAAAATGCCATACCTCAGTGACCTCCACCACCAAGCACTGGAAAGGTTTGGCCGTGGACTACTGCACCACCCTCGCCATCTCCTGCAGCCCCCCACCCAACTCGCGCAGTCCGCCACTACAACAAAATTCAGCCCATAAGAGCCCGCACCGATAGATATAAGAACAGCACCATCCCATCTATTGTTAAAATAATAAACAACTCCTGATTTATGTACTGTGCAGCCCTGTAAATGTATTCAATGCATATTATATCATTATGTCTAAATCAAATGTAAGTCTGTATATTTTCAGCCACCGGCTGCAACTCTATTAATAAACCGTTTATTATTATTATTATTATTATTATTACACACACACACACACACACACACACACACACACACTCACCTACCTACCAACATGTATGTATGTATGTAGTGTCTCCTTAATACGTCTAACTAAAGCAGCAACAGATTTTCTTAATATATAAAATGTTTAAGTAAGATAACCAACACAGTCTCAGCTTAGGTGTGTGTGTGAAGCAGGGAGCTGGTGAAGTAACGTAGCTACGGTAAGGAGCTTCGCCATGGTGGGAGAGGAGCGCCAGCAAGATAAAGGTCGGCTGTGTCTTCAAATGTCAAGGCAAAGATAGACTCAGAAATCTATACATTGGCTGATGGTGTTGTTGTTTCTGCTGTATAGTGTATGGTATGGTGTGTTGTCTATACATTGGCTGATGGTGTTGTTGTTTCTGCTGTATAGTGTATGGTGTGGTATGTTGTCTATACAGTGGCTGATGTTGTTATTGTGTGTTATTGTTGTGTAGTGTTGTACAGTGTGGTGGTGTTTATATAGTGATCGATGGTGTTATTCTTATTGTGGTGTTGTGTGGTGTTGTGTGGTGTTGCCTGCACCATTATCGCCACCAAGGCTGAAGCAAGTATAGTGTCACTGGTGTATGATAAACAGGAGTTCAATTGTGGCGTCATACACTCATACAGTTGGGTAGTATCCGTTCACCTCTCCTCCTGAACCACGAACCCCCGAAAGATTCAAACTCGTGAACCCGAAGCAGTAAACTGATACATTATTCTGTCCATAAATGCTTCGGGATCATGAATGAAGTAAACTCAGTGGGTGGCTAATCATCCGTTGTTTATGAGTTTCTGTACTTCCATAACTAAAGCACAGACATACACAGCAACATACGACCCCTGTACTGATCGCTATAAGAACAGCCTCATCCCGACCATTGTAAAAAATCATCAACAGCTCGTAGAAAACTTAGGTGTTCACTCTACCATTGTCACCTTTGTACTGTAACTTGTGCTGAAATGCCGTGTTAATTGACCCCCCCCCCCTCCCTCCCTATGTGATTATATACAGTACTGTATTTATGTACCATCTTTGTTATTTGTGTATTTTAAGTTATGGCCGCTGTATTTGTCGGTAAACAGTAAATTATTATTATTATTATTATTATTATTATTATTATTATTATTATTATTATTATTATTATTATTATTATTATTATTATTATTATTATTATTATTATTATTATTATTATTACACACTGGGACAGTTTATACATGAGTCAGTGTGTATTAAGTATGGAGGAACCTGCTGAGGTGTATAACAGTGTGTCCTGCTCGTTATAAACTACTGCCCCAGTTATCATAGCGACGGATAGTTTGTTACTTTTACCATAATAGATATTATCTTTAAATATATATTTTACCAGTACATCAAATTATTTTATATATAATATCTCAATGTGTACTAACTCCTAACTGTTAGAAATATTTGAGCTGTGTTTTAGCCGAGTTTCCCCCACATACTAACCTGGACTCCACCATTTTCTTTTTCAAGCTTAAGACGTTGAACATTCCGGGCAGCAAGCCGTTGCCTTGTGCAAGTTTGGTCGTTATCAACCCTAAAGGAAAGGTGAGCGGTAGTAGACGGTATTACAGTGGAACTATAGAGTAGACACCGTCGGCTGTAGATCCTCTGATAGAGCACACTGTAGAGAGAGATCCGAAGCTGCCGATAAATATTATACTCACGCGGGCTTTAGTGGAGACCCGTTTTCTCTAGTTGCCTCAACATAGTCAGCAGTCAATGTGAACTCTCTTATAGTCCATCCCCCACCAGCCCTCCTCCCAGCATCATGCGGCCCTCACCTCTCATAGTCCCAGCCCTCATCACCCCCCCAGCCCTCCTCCCAGCATCATGCGGCCCTCACCTCATAGTCCCAGCCCTCATCACACCCCCCCCCCAGCCCTCCTCCCAGCCCTCCTCCCAGCATCATGCGGCCCTCACCTCTCATAGTCCCAGCCCTCATCACCCCCCCAGCCCTCCTCCCAGCATCATGCGGCCCTCACCTCTCATAGTCCTAGCCCTCCTCCCAGCATCATGCGGCCCTCACCTCTCATAGTCCCAGCCCTCATCACCCCCCCAGCCCTCCTCCCAGCATCATGCGGCCCTCACCTCTCAAAGTCCTAGCCCTCATCACCCCCCAGCCCTCCTTCCAGCATCATGCGGCCCTCACCTCTCATAGTCCCAGCCCTCATCACCCCCCCAGCCCTCCTCCCAGCATCATGCGGCCCTTACTTCTCACAGTCCCAGCCCTCATCGCCCCAGCATCATGCGGCCCTCACCGGAGTAATAATCTACGACCATACATTAGTGTACAGTCTGGTCGTCGTCAGCAGTAGTGATGGGTGACTCCTGTAAGACCGGGACGCTACAGACATCACTCCTCAGCATCAAGCATGTTATAGTCTTAAGTGGATTGTTACCATAAACTTGTAAACATTAGAGTTATTAACATCCCTCCTTAATTACAATAAATTTATATATTAGATGATATTAGTATTACCTTTAGTTTACCTTAACTTTTAATAAGATCCGTGTGAAAAATATTTGTTTCCTTTTAAATTGATTGTCTTTAATATTACCCTTTAAACTCCTTGTCTGGTTACACAGTATATATATAATATTATTTGTAAGCTTGGGTTGCCACATCAAGTATTTACCCAACAAAGAAGTCAACAACATTTTTATCTACACACTTGGCGACCTGACGGCGACACTGACGGTGGTGTGCGGCGCCGGCCAGTCGAGCTGTGTGGTGCCCTCCCTCCAGTCCCTTACCCCTTCCTCCTTTCTTCCCTCCAGTCATTCCCCTCCTTCCTTCCCTCCCTCCAGTCCTCCCCTCCCCCCCTCCCTCCAGTCCTCCCCTCCCCTCCGTCCAGTCCTCTCCTCCCCTCACCTCCTACCCTCCCTCTCTCCTGCCTCCCTCCTCCCCCTCACCTCCCACCTCACCTCCCACCCTCCCTCCTCCTTCCCTCACCTCCTGCCCTCCTCCTGCCTCCCCCTCCCTCCCCCTCACTCTCCCACTCCTCACCTCCCACCCCTCCCTCCCCCTCACTCCAAGCCCCTCCCTCCTTCCCCCTCCCTCCAGTCCTCCCTTCCCTCCTCCCCTTCCATCCTGCCCTCCCCCCTTCTGCCCGCCCTCCCCCTCTCTCCCCCTCCCCCCCCCCTCCTGCCCCTCTCCTCCCCCTCCCCCTCCCCCTCTCCTCCCCTCCTCTTTCCCCCTCCTGCCCCCTCTCTCCTTCCCTCCCTCCAGTCCTTCAAGCCCTGCTGCCTCTCCCCTATCTTATCCTTTATTACGGCCTAGCTGACCAATTCCTTTCGCCCCCGCCCCTCCCTCCAACCATACTGGCCAAGTCCTCACCCTCCCTCTCTCTCTCCCTCCAAATAAACAGATGCTCTCAAATTTTACTTTCAACAATATGATCATCAATGATGATGACACCTGACCTGTTATTATACACACACACACCACACCATAACACCACACCTTACCACACCACACCATAACACCACACCACAACACAACACCACACCATAACACAACACCACACCATAACACAACACCACACCATAACACAACACCACACCACAACACCACACCACATCATAACACCACACCATAACACCACACCATAACACAACACCACACCATAACACAACACCACATCATAACACCACATCATAACACCACACCATAACACCACACCACACCACACCACACACCTAGGCGAAGGAAATGAATGCACTAAGAACATAGCGTCGAGGGAGTAAGTGAAACGTGGCATGGCGGGTCCGTAGACTTAACCCCGGCGTTGTGTGGGAGGGCGGCGAGAAGTTCCGGGTATTATTGTTGTGACATATTATTGAATGACATAAAATTTACTTGAAAAACAAACAAAAAAAACAATGTCAGCCTTGTTTATAATACTTTGTGATTTATTGATATTAACGAGATAGGAAGAAGAAACTTATTGTTATGTTTGAAGAGAGAGTATCGTGTTGATCATTAAATTAATTATAATATACTGTAGATATAATTAATTTAGTTTATTAACTCAAGTGTGTTCCATAATTTATGGACTATAATTATATATTTACGAAGCTTATATTATATTCTTTGAGGAAAATTTAATTGCGAGATATTATCAAATTCACTTTCCCGCCATCACAACAGGTAGAAGTGGCCACAGACCGACAGACATACAGACCGACACCAGACATATATACACCCCAGTAGTCTCTCTCTGGGGGATAATAATAATTGTGTTTTGGTAAGATTATTCTCTATATCTCAAATTATTACACAGTGATCACATAGATTATTATATATTACTAAAATAATCAACTCTGAAAAAGGTCAACAAAATAATCGCTCTCCCAAGTTATTAAAATTATTCAAATTATCAACATTAGTGAGCGGCTGAAGACGTAAATCATCATGTGAAGGAGAGAGTTTATTGTTGTTGGATGATATAATAGAGATATATATTGGTTTAATCTTATCAGTGAGTGAAGTGTTGGTTCAGCCTCTCGCCGTCCGGGTGATGGCGCCAGTCTCACTCACACCGTCGCCTCCACTATTGCTGTTGGTGCATCTTCTGCCACTGCTTCAGCTTTCCACCTCGATACTTCCTACTGCTTCACGCTTCTTCGGCAGTTGTTATGGGAGGTGTTATGGTATTTTACTGTTACTTTACTTACCATGTTGCCGTGTTGCTACTGATGATACTGTTGCTACTGCTGGTTTGGTTTGTGTTACATCTGCTTCTGCTTTTATTCACTGGTCATGTTGATAGGGAAAGACTCGGTATTATTGTGATCTTACTTGCCCCGTTACCGATGCCTCCTCCTCCTGCACCCCTCTTCCTCCTCTTGAACCACCCCTCTTCCTTCACCACCCCTCTTCCTCCTCCTGCACCCCTCTTCCTCCTCCTGCACCACCCCTCCTCCACCTCCTCCTGCATCCCTCTTCAAATGCACCACCCCTCTTCCTGCACCCCTCCTCCCTGCACCACCCTCTTCCTCCTCCTGCACCACCCCTCCTCCACCTCCTCCTGCATCCCTCTTCAAATGCACCACCTCTTCTTCCTGCCACCCCTCTTCCTGTACCACCCCTCGTCTGCACCCCTCTTCCTCCTCCTGCACCACCCCTCCTCCACCTCCTCCTGCATCCCTCTTCAAATGCACCACCCCTCTTCCACCCCTGCACCACCCCTCTTCCTGCACCCCTCTTCGTCCTGATAACGACACTTGGTATTACCATGAACAAGTTATTGTTGTCGCACTGCAGCAGCCAAGCACTTCAGCATCCATCCCCCACGTGGAGCTGTGTAGACCTCTCACTGTCTCCCTCATTATCTCACACGTGTCCCCCTCGCTCTAATCTGATCCTCTCACTGTCTCAACTCCCCTTATTCTATCCTCTCACTGTCTCTCATCGGATCCTCTTACTGTCTCTCAACTCCCTCACTGTCTCTCTCATTATCTCACACCGTCATCAATGTCTTTCACACTCCCTCAACTTGTCCTTCGTTACGTCATCACTTAGGCACCGGAAGGGGAATTATGACGTCATATCCGGTAACAAGCGTGTTTATATACCCTTCAGAGCCTCGTTATACGCTACATTATGTCAACACACGTCCGGATATACCTTGACCCCGACCTCGACTTCGACCTTGGAGTGTGTCAAGGGTTAGAACACTTTATGAGGAGGAAGCTACGGGCCTGAATGGTCACCCCAACCTTGTTATAACCTGGCATCCAGTTCAGGGTTATATATGGGATAAGTTTATGGTGATTGCTCTTTACCATTACGAATTATATCAAAATTAACATATATATGGTGGAAATAATCTATAATCTAAACAAAAACTATAATTTAAAGATAAGTTTGAGGATATTGATGGTAAAGTAGGTAATATTCTTAACTACCTGACCCTGAACCAGTTATTGTGGAAAATATTGAAAAATTTGTGACCGTAACAAAATTTTTAAAACACCTGAAAATAAACACAAATGACTTAAACTTTGTAATGAAATGTGATAAGTCAAGTCCGTAGATTTATTTAGCTGTAAAAATTAACAAGAAAAATAACAAATATACACGCGTGAAGCCTTCCATCAGTGAGGTTAGGTGAGGCGCATATAAGGCTGATTGAGCACTTGCTTGACCTCTGACCCTTGACCTTTGACCTTGTGTAATAATATGACCAATGTGTTGTTATGCTCCAGATAGATAGATAGATAGATAGAAACATTACTTCTATTATTCATGTTCTTGGTCCTCGTGGCTGTTTTATGGTCCGTGGTCCGTGGTCCGTGTTGACTGTCTTATGATCCGTGGCCTGTGTGGTTGTCTTGTGGTCCGTGGCCTGTGTGGTTGTCTTATGGTCCGTTGTCCTCGTGGTTGTCTTATGGTCCGTGGTCCGTGTTGACTGTCTTATGGTCCGTGGTCCGTGTTGACTGTCTTATGGCCCGTTGTCCGTGTTGGCTGTCTTGTGGTCCGTGGCCTGTGTGGTTGTCTTGTGGTCCGTGGCCTGTGTGGTTGTCTTGTGGTCCGTGGCCTGTGTGGCT